TCTATATAATTATATATGATTATATATAATTCTATATAATTATATATGATTATATATAATTCTATATAATTATATATGATTATATATAATTCTATATAATTATATATGATTATATATAATTCTATATAATTATATATGATTATATATAATTCTATATAATTATATATGATTATATATAATTCTATATAATTATATATGATTATATATAATTCTATATAATTATATATGATTATATATAATTCTATATAATTATATATGATTATATATAATTCTATATAATTATATATGATTATATATAATTCTATATAATTATATATGATTATATATAATTCTATATAATTATATATGATTATATATAATTCTATATAATTATATATGATTATATATAATTCTATATAATTATATATGATTATATATAATTCTATATAATTATATATGATTATATATAATTCTATATAATTATATATGATTATATATAATTCTATATAATTATATATGATTATATATAATTCTATATAATTATATATGATTATATATAATTCTATATAATTATATATGATTATATATAATTCTATATAATTATATATGATTATATATAATTCTATATAATTATATATGATTATATATAATTCTATATAATTATATATGATTATATATAATTCTATATAATTATATATGATTATATATAATTCTATATAATTATATATGATTATATATAATTCTATATAATTATATATGATTATATATAATTCTATATAATTATATATGATTATATATAATTCTATATAATTATATATGATTATATATAATTCTATATAATTATATATGATTATATATAATTCTATATAATTATATATGATTATATATAATTCTATATAATTATATATGATTATATATAATTCTATATAATTATATATGATTATATATAATTCTATATAATTATATATGATTATATATAATTCTATATAATTATATATGATTATATATAATTCTATATAATTATATATGATTATATATAATTCTATATAATTATATATGATTATATATAATTCTATATAATTATATATGATTATATATAATTCTATATAATTATATATGATTATATATAATTCTATATAATTATATATGATTATATATAATTCTATATAATTATATATGATTATATATAATTCTATATAATTATATATGATTATATATAATTCTATATAATTATATATGATTATATATAATTCTATATAATTATATATGATTATATATAATTCTATATAATTATATATGATTATATATAATTCTATATAATTATATATGATTATATATAATTCTATATAATTATATATGATTATATATAATTCTATATAATTATATATGATTATATATAATTCTATATAATTATATATGATTATATATAATTCTATATAATTATATATGATTATATATAATTCTATATAATTATATATGATTATATATAATTCTATATAATTATATATGATTATATATAATTCTATATAATTATATATGATTATATATAATTCTATATAATTATATATGATTATATATAATTCTATATAATTATATATGATTATATATAATTCTATATAATTATATATGATTATATATAATTCTATATAATTATATATGATTATATATAATTCTATATAATTATATATGATTATATATAATTCTATATAATTATATATGATTATATATAATTCTATATAATTATATATGATTATATATAATTCTATATAATTATATATGATTATATATAATTCTATATAATTATATATGATTATATATAATTCTATATAATTATATATGATTATATATAATTCTATATAATTATATATGATTATATATAATTCTATATAATTATATATGATTATATATAATTCTATATAATTATATATGATTATATATAATTCTATATAATTATATATGATTATATATAATTCTATATAATTATATATGATTATATATAATTCTATATAATTATATATGATTATATATAATTCTATATAATTATATATGATTATATATAATTCTATATAATTATATATGATTATATATAATTCTATATAATTATATATGATTATATATAATTCTATATAATTATATATGATTATATATAATTCTATATAATTATATATGATTATATATAATTCTATATAATTATATATGATTATATATAATTCTATATAATTATATATGATTATATATAATTCTATATAATTATATATGATTATATATAATTCTATATAATTATATATGATTATATATAATTCTATATAATTATATATGATTATATATAATTCTATATAATTATATATGATTATATATAATTCTATATAATTATATATGATTATATATAATTCTATATAATTATATATGATTATATATAATTCTATATAATTATATATGATTATATATAATTCTATATAATTATATATGATTATATATAATTCTATATAATTATATATGATTATATATAATTCTATATAATTATATATGATTATATATAATTCTATATAATTATATATGATTATATATAATTCTATATAATTATATATGATTATATATAATTCTATATAATTATATATGATTATATATAATTCTATATAATTATATATGATTATATATAATTCTATATAATTATATATGATTATATATAATTCTATATAATTATATATGATTATATATAATTCTATATAATTATATATGATTATATATAATTCTATATAATTATATATGATTATATATAATTCTATATAATTATATATGATTATATATAATTCTATATAATTATATATGATTATATATAATTCTATATAATTATATATGATTATATATAATTCTATATAATTATATATGATTATATATAATTCTATATAATTATATATGATTATATATAATTCTATATAATTATATATGATTATATATAATTCTATATAATTATATATGTGATTCCATATATAATCATATATGATTATATACAATTATATATGATTATATAGAAACATTTTTTCTCGGGTTTATTATTTTTATTAAATATATAAAATTGTTGATAGGTAATACAATAGATAAAATTTAAAAAGTTGAGAAAAATACAATCTTACATGATTTTCGAGATCAGCAACTACCATCAAAATCTCTTCTGTCGGTAAATTTTTAAGCTTTATTGTGCCTGTTGTAACTACATACAATGATGATGCATTTTTACAACCATCCAATACCTTTTGGTGGCATAAAGCAATCGTCTTCGCCGGAAGATTTTCATTATTGACTATTAAATCAATAAAAGTTCCATCTGTACATTTGCGTAAAACTGAGAAATTATCCGTGTATAATGCATCTCGCAATTGTTTAAAAGACTTCTCTTTTGGAAGTTGTAATCTTCTTTGGGACCAACGACGCATGCATTCTCAGGCGTTATTTCTTTTAATCCGAGCAGCAGCTTGAGGATGCCTAAATTAAAAAAGGCTGTTGCTAGTGATCCGACAATTTGGATGAATAAAAAATAATTAGCCGTCCGATAATTTAAATAATGGTTATTTATAATAAGAAAATTATTGTATATTGTTAAAATTATCAGACCAATAATTATTTTTTTCTTCATCTGATAATTAAAAAAATATGTTTCAATTATCGGAAAAATATAATTATTTTTTATTCATCCGAGTTGTCGGATTACTAGACACACCGATTAAAATTAAGCAAGTGGCTACTCATACATTCCTGTGCTGGCACAGAACTCGTTTGAACATGTGTACCATTTTCCCGTGCCCTTCTTCCCGTGGCCCACTGTTATCCCATGTTTCGTGCCAACGCGGAAATGCGCGAATAGCTTCACTCACTAACAAAAAATTTCTAGAAAAAAAAAACTATTTTATTCTAATGATTATACTCACAATCTTGCTAATCGGTCATAAATATCGCCAACATCATTGAGCTCACTTTTGGTTGCTTTTTTTAACTCATTTCGGAAGAGAGAAATGTCTTGTAAAGTATAATCACGGGGGTGATTGTGAGCTTTGCTTTCAGTACTACCATCCTCTTTGTAAATTACTCTTCCGGGACACTGATTCATTCGCCTTCTATCACATTGTAAATATCTGAAAAAAAAAAAAATTATAAATTAAACTATAGGTAAACAAAATTATTATACTTCAGTATTATAATGAACTTCAGTATTATAAAGTTAGCCGTCAGCTGTCAATGTTAAAAATTTTTTTAACAAATCAATTACAATAAAAAATACTTCTAAAAATTTCCACTTATAATTTTTATTAATTTTCACACGTGGAACTATTTAATTAATTTTTTTATAGCAATTTTATTACTATAAAATTCTAAAAAAATTTCTCATGTCTGTCAACTTCAGTGTCATACTAAATTAATAAGAATCAAAGAAATTTCTTGAGAGTAATTAAAAAAAAATAAATACAAAATTATAATTTAATTTTTTATGACACTGAAGTTGACAGATATTCGAAATTATCTTATAATTTTATATCTATAAAATTATTAAGAAAAAAATTAAACAAAAAAATTCCACACGTGAAAATTGAAAAATAATATTAGTGGAAATTTTTTCAGAAGCATTTTTTTCCGTTTTAATTGATTTGTTGTAAAATTAAAAAAAATTACAGTTGTTAGTTAACTTTAGTGTCTTAACTTTTTTTCTTATTACTTATTTTTCAAATCCTTGTTCAGATGATATGCATAACCCTCATATATATGACTTTCAAATTTAACAAAATTGCAATTTCGAGACATTTTTAATTTTTACGTAGTAGCTGTAACTTATGCTCATAGATACTTAAGGTGGAATTCATATTAAAAGAAATCAGATGAGCCCTCGTTTGTCTTGCGAGAAAACTTTTAATCAGAGTGGGGGAAATAATGTATATCGATGTGTGTATGTGTATCCGTGTATAATTTGGTTATATACATATGTGTGGAACATCGAAGTGCAGAATATTTAATTTTAAATTAATTAAAAAATGATAGCTGAAGATGAAATGATCCATTACGGTTATCGAATAAGATCGAGTTATGGCAGCGTTAAGTAAGTTAATAAAATTTTTCGTTATTCTTAATATTACTATAATTTGTTGACTAAAATAATATTCGAGATGCAATGACACTGAAGTTGACAGATATTGGAAATTTTTTTATAATTTAAAATCAATAAAGTTATGATGAAAAAAATGTAATAAAAATATTTTACATGTGAAAATTAAAAAAAATATTTTGCGGAAATTTTTAAAAACATCATTATTAATGTTATTGGTTTATTATAAAAATTTAAAAATTGACAGGTGTCAGCTGACTTTAGTATCATCGAGATGCAAGCTTTTTTTGTGTTTTAATTTCTATTGATACTCATACAAAAATTCAAAACTTCATTTACTTTAATAATTAAATTTTAATTTTGTCATTTATCCGTTTTACTAGTTACATACAATGTATTGCTAAAAATCGAGAACAATGTCCAGCTCATGGGGAAATAAGAAATGAAAAAATAACGTGGAGAAAAAATCATAATCATAATCCCAATGTGATGTATGACATCATTAGGCAAATGAAGAAGGAGCTTCGTGAAGCAACAGAATTATCTCTTCAAGATTTACGGAGTATTTATAATCAGATAGCATTGATGTGAGTACAATGATAAGTGTAATTTTTGCATGCTTAATTGAAAATATTTTATTATGCATCAAAAAATAAATTATTATACTTTCTTCTGGTGACCGTCTCTTTTTTCTCATGCAAAAATTTCTCGCGACAAAAATTCTCAGCAATAATTTCTTATAAAATATTTTCTCACATAAAAACCATGATAAAAGGGCTATGTTAATGTTGAAGATATATAAGCATTTTTGTCAATGATGATTAATTTTCGTCAAATTAATTTATGTTATGATAAATTTTGTTTTTTGAAATAATTGTATTTAAGATATTGCTGTGTGAGAAATTTTGACTTGGGTAATTTTTGCGGATTAATAAAGGCAGAGCCTATTCTTCTAAACATCCTGATGCTGCTGCTTTTGTAACTTTTCGGAGCATAGAAAGATCTATGATGAGGTGGCGACAAGCTGTACGTCCACCAATTCCAACTTCACTTGAAAATTACGCACAGATTTTGAACGATCCAAAATGGAATCATTTAACTCAATACCCTACCGGCCGATTGAATGTTTCTGCAGTTATTGGAAGAGATTCTTCTGTTGCTGTTGTTATTGGGGATCCACAGTTCTTACAAACTATAGTTGCGGAAGAATTCTATATAGACGCAACATATAAAGTATGTCCCAGAAAGCCTAAATTTTATCAGCTTTTTACCATTATGGCCAAAGTAAATAATGTAGTAAGTATATTAAATAAACTATTTATTACTGTATTAAGGTATATCATACACTTGCATGTTTTTAATGAATTTAACTATTTACCTTCAGGCGATTCCTATCACTTGGGCATTAATGGATAAGAAGACCACCTTAGCCTACGTCACTGTACTAGAACACTTTAAATCAACTTTAGCGCAACATCTTCAGCCCAAGAAGTTCACAGTGGACTATGAATCTGGCTTGGCTTCAGCTGTCTCATTGATCTATCCTGATGCTTTAATTTGTCGGTGTTATTTTCATTACCTGCAGGTAGGAGTCTATTCTAATATTTTATAATATATATTTCAAACTCGTTGATTAACTCAATAAAAATTTGTATTCAGGCTTTGGTAAGAAGACTAAAATCGTATGGGAAAAATTTCATGACACAGCTTGAAAATTGGGAAGAAGCTCAAATTTTTGTTCGGAAAATTGCTGGTTTGCCGTTTTTACCTGCTCATTGTATTTCAGAAGCTTTTGAATGGTTAATTAATAATACTACAAATGATTTGAAAATATTTTTTGATCCTTTCATTGAATATGTACTCGGCTGTACAACAAACTGCGTATGCTTGCCATGTTTTCACTGGATTGCATGTGTTCAATGCGTTAAAACCATAGTACAGCTTACAGAGCAAGAAAATGCTAACTTCAGATGCTCAATTTGCTTTCAAGTTGTTGAGTCGTTTTTAAAACTGAATGTAAGTACATATAACTTTCATTGATTTTTTAAATGCTGATAACATAAATATTTGACTTATTTTAAGATTTTTTTATACTTTTAGATTACCTGATCACTAAAATTTAGATGAAAAGGATTCAATTATATTCAGCATACAGAATGAGCTCGTTACTCGGGAAATTAAATGTTAATTGACCTTCTTATTGTCGTGACTTTCTTCGAAGATTTTTTTTTTAAATAATAAAAAAATGTATATATAACTTGATACAAATAAAATGGAAAAGTAATAATAATTTCCTAATTTGTTCGTCTTGGCAATTAAATTTAGTTATCTGAATCATAGGATTCGCGATAAATAAAAAATTGCAGATGTTATTTATGCGTAATCAAATTAATTTTATTAGACTACTCTATCTGTACATAAAAATAGTAATTAAGACTTACATATACTTAAAAGATAAATTAAGACTTACATATACTTAAAAGACAAATTTAAATATTCAAAATTTGTTTTGAGTTTGATTAATTTTATATTCATTTATAATCTTGAAAGACGTAGGTTTTTAACTATAAATTTTATAAATATTTAAATATTTAAATACAAAAGACTTATGATAATAAACATTTACAATGAAAATTACTTTATCGACAGAAGCGAATGTCCTCCTTATAATTATTTTTACATTTTTTGGCTAAATGAGTGTTCGTCTGTTCATTTACTTTGGCATAAAAATTTTCGTTGCTATGTTTTTCAGTTTATTGAGACTTTGTAACTCTTAAAGATTTTATTAATATAACTTCAGTTTTTTCTTTATTCGACATTTTATTTTTCGAAATTAAAAAATTCGTAAAACTAATTATTTTAAATTACATTTTATATTGACTTTCTAAGTTCTAGTAATTTATGAATTCGGAAGGTTGTTAGTCTGACTAGTTGACTGCAACCCTCCCGAAGTAGAGAGACAGTTTCAAAACATGACACGACATGCCGAAATCACTGATAAAATGATTACTTCTCTAGGTGAAAGTATGGCTTTACAACAAGCCCTACTTCAAGTACCTATTTTTGACGGCAAAAATATGCCTCTAAAGACCTTCCTACAGGAAGTCGAAAACGGACATAATTTAATTCCCGAAGGACTTAATGCCGCCTACTTTAATGGCATACGTTCTATACTTCGCGAAATGGCTCGTGATGCTATAACTGATAAAGTAGTAAACTCAATTGAAACGTTTAAAAATGCTTTAAGTGAATATTTTGCCTTAAAAAAATCATACCCTCAGTATTGTGCTGACATACAATCAATTCGATTGCGTGATAAAGAATCTGTATTAAGCTACTATCACAGAATCAAAAAGATTAGAGCAAATGCTATAGCATCATTGCGAGAACATTTTGTAGAAGAGGAAGAAGTAACCACAATGACAAAACTACTTGACGGACTCGCATTAGAATCTTTCAAACGCGGTTTACCCGATGACCTAGTTTACGGTGTAAGCGTCCAAAATCCAGCAAATCTTGATGATGCATACAAGATCGCGTTAAGACTAGAGGAAGATTTGAAAAGTAACTCAACACGAAATTCTAATTATTTGGCATATACTCAACTTGACCCTGACGTAGATCCTCCTAGACGAACTAGGACTATTAGTTTTCAAGATGAAGAGCGTCGAGGACAAATTCCCTTTCGCTTAAATCGAAACTCACGATCTCCTAGTCCTGCATATAGGCAAACAAATAGGGATAATTCGCGTGAACATCAAAGAAATCGGGATCGGAGTATGTCACCCTATCGATCCCCTCCAAATTATTATCCTTATCTACCATCCCCAGGATATCTACCTCCTATGCATTATATGCCATATCAATTTTCTCCTCCATTTCCCTATTCACATCAAATGCCATATTCTAATCCTTATCATTATGGAAACCAAAATAATTATAATTCTAATCAGCAACCTATAAATCAAAATTATTCAAAAAATAATTACAATCGTGGCGGTTATCTACAAAATAATAACCAACATAATTCACCACGACCAAACTCACCATCTTCAAACTCCAATGTGGCTCAGCGGAACGACGCGACAGTGAGCACCGGAAACAACCCCGAAACGCGTTCAGCAACGATCAAATTCCTAACAATCGACAATTTGTCATGTGCAACAAAATCCAAGGAAAAGGACCAGTAGTAACTCTAAAGGCTAGAGAGTTAAAAAACGGTAGAGCGAGATTTTTAGTCGATACTGGAGCTGATATAAACCTCATAAGACAAGATGCCCTTACACCCCGCACTATTATAAACAGATATAATTCAGTATCAATAAAGGGCATTACCACAGAAAAATTAGATACACTTGGAACTACAGAGATTACATTTTTCGAAAATCCTGAAACATTTCATGTTTTAGAGAATCCACTCCCCATTTCAACAGACGGTATAATCGGAATCGACTTCTTAGTTAACGAGAAGGTGGAAATATCATTTCACCATAACACAATTGTTGCTGACTCTAAACCAATACACCCCATACCATTTGAAGATCCTGATGGCAACCCTTACGATACTCCAACAGCGACTCCTCCAAGATGAGAAGAGGAAAGCTCTGTTTTTCTTCTACCTGCAAGAATGTGCACCGTAGTACAAATCAATCTTCAAAATACCGATTTACAAACAGGATACTTACCCCTACTCGATACGCCAGAAAATATTTTTATTGGAAATTGTGTAGTGACAAATAGAGAAGGTAAATGTTACGTGCTTGCAGTTAACGCGTACGAAGATGACATACAGTTAGAAATTCCCGCTCAAGAACTCGTCCCATTTGAGTGTGAAGGAAGCTCTGAAGACTTTTTCGATCCAGAATCTGATAACGACATTGGCGAAGATCCAAGAGACAGATTCCAATTTATTGGCGAGAAAAGATTATTAAAAGATCAAGAAGGAAGCATTTACAAAATATAGAAGTATCACCTCCAGATGGTCTGAGACTAGCTTTGTTAAGAACTTTTGGGGAGCTCCCCAATCATTTTTCAAATAACATAGATGCAATCATCAGTGATCTACAATATACTCCCGATTTTAGGACATTTCTACCGCCATATGCACAATCATCCCAACAAGACTTAATGGTTCGACCCTTTTCAACAACAAAGCGCTCGCCATATCTTTTCCGAGTGTTGATGGCTACAAGGTATCACCCATATCCAGAAATCAGCCGTATCCAAGATAAATACCAAGGAGAACGTCAAGTTAAAATTCTTCAATAGAGTACATAAAAACTTATATAATGGTGTTGGTTTCTATAAGAAAAATAAATAATTGTAAGACTCGAGGTTTATATTTTATATACCACTCATATTTATTAGTACATCTACAAGTAACAACCCGACAATGATTACGGAATGAGACAGCTAATGAAAGCCAATATAATTAAGGGATGACAATGACTGGGTGGCGTTGTACTAGGACCCATCGCGTGAGGTCCTCATGAAGAGTGGCGTCGGAATGCCCCTAACAATCTCTCTCGTAGTCCTCTCAACCCTCGTTGAGTGGGGGCGAGTCTTGTCACGGGCTGGGGGTAAGATCTTACGTCACAGATCTCGGGCCTCACGATACTCGACAGCCTTCAGCCTCGGCAATAAGAATAGCGTTGCTTACAGTCGGCCGTCCTGATGATGCTCGCGTCCTCGCGACTGGTGGTCAGCTGCTCGTTTAAGTGACCATGTCACTTAACCTGGTATATTACTATATTCGACCTAAAATAATATTCAAGTATTATTAGTATTTGAAAAATATGAGATATCATGAAATACTATGCAGGCATTCCTATTGTAGAATCAAAGCTGTTCTCGTTCTTAACAAAAATCAACAACACAATACAATTTAAACAATAATCATGCGCATCCTCTACCTACAGGACTCAGGGCATGTGTCTATACCGCTGATCCAGTCATACATGCTTAAACTTTAGAGCCGACCAATTGGCACCAGTGACTTCTTATCTGACTCAGTCGTCCACCGGATACGAATCACTACTTGCCATATAGCTTGTCTGTAGCTCTAAATTTTAACATTCCATTCAATTTTCATGCGTGCAATTTCAAACTGGGCCCATTAACGTCGTTACTACTCAGTAACGACTGCATGCTTTGTGACAGATGTCACTGAAACCACTAGCAGTACGGAGAAACCACCGCCATCCGGCGCTCGATCGATTAAGATCTTCGCAGTTTCTCGACATAACCACCAGGACGTTGGAGTCGTCGCCCGGTCATCACTGACCGCCCGATCGTTTAACGATCACACGACTCATATCGGCTTTCGCCAATTAAACCACTAGTAGTGCGGAGAAGCTACTGCCATACGGCACTTGATCGATTCCCTGATCTTGCAGTCTCTCGACGCAACTACTAGGACGATGACTCTCTAGCCAGTATTAGGATGCAATACTCCTCCATCTGGCGTCTATTTGTAATAAGTTAGCTCATACTCAGTGAGCTGATGAAGTATCCTCGCTACTACGGCGCTCAGGATCACTCCAGCTATTCATTAACTCCTCCAGGTTCACACTAAGAAGTGCCGATTGTTGCTGCAACCGCTTAACTTTACACTGTCAAGAGTTGAACGGCCAACGTGATAGTCCAACTCAGGTTTATACCTAAAACAAATTAAGAGTGTCGACGATGTAACGTCTTACCACTGAAATCTCTTTAAGATTCCTGGTCTTCCGTCTACAATCATAATAACGGTCCATGACGTACTCGATGCACACGTTCGTGCATCTCATGCACTATCGTCCATTGTTGAAAGATCTTCAACAGCTATCGCTGTCGTCCATACTGACTCGGTAATATCTGCGCAACGGTTAATCGAGCAACAGACGTATCCCAGATGAGTTGATACTTCAGCACTCGTCTGAACCACCTTCGAAGCCTGGTCAGAAACTTAGAAGACATGAATTAACATTTTATCTAGAGACAGATGTAATGCTCTCGGCGATATATAAATCTCATCTTCATCAAGCATTAATTACAATAACTTAATAATTATTTTGTTTAATTCTTAATAGTTACTATGCTTACATATTCTATCGCTGAAATTCCAGCTTGAATTTCAATCATATTTTATACAGGTACGAGAAACCACGTTTCGTTCACTCAACATCCAAGAAGGACCTATAGCTTACTCCCTTTACTTTAAGATACTCAACGTACTCAACGTTAGACTATAGCAATTCTTACAACCGATACCTCATAGCTAATGTGACAATATACTCTAACCAGTACCCACGACCCTTCTTTTTTTTGAGGTCCAGTTGACCTGAGTTTACTACTTGACTATTACTTGTCATAAAATTAACCCGCAATCTTAAACAAGACCATTATTTTTTAAGGGACAGTAACTGCGCTACTGTACAGATTCAAACCAAACTATTTTGCAATTACGTAAATATCTATCTTGTTGACCGACGTTTTTATTGCTTTAAGTTACGCCTGAGATAGTAGCGATCATTAATTGACGAAAATTAATTACAATTATTCCAGCCTCTCAATTTACTAAATTAAGTTTTGGCCTAAAATAATCGTAAAAATACCTGAGACTAAATTTTTTCGATTCTCTAACGGTGACTGGTGTTTTGGTCAAAACTTTCGGGATCAGTGGCTGGTTGGTCTCTCTAGTCTCCAATGAGTTGGCTGGCTCCAGATAAAGGGTTTCCAAATTTCAGTTCACAAATTGGCTTCCTTCCTGACTGTTCTATATCTCGATGACAATTATTACACAGCACTACACTGACTCCAACTGCTTTTCCCGAGAAGGCCACTCTCTCAAAAGGCGTCACTGGCTCAAAAGACCCAATGTCTCTCTTGTCGGCTCTGTAATAATCCCCGAACTCCGGGTTCTCAAACTTTCTTATTGTTACGCCCGCTTCATTTTCTAGGAACTGCAGGGGAGAATCTCGATTTTTACGCCCGGTGACAAGTCGAAACTACTTGTCAAAATCGAAAGGTAAGGGTGTAACTTTCTGAAAAATCAGTACTCAATTAAACGATTTTTATTATTTATTCTCCAGGTTAGCTTCATTAGGGTGTCAATAGACCCCAGGTGAGCCCGTTGCGCAGCTCTCTCTTAATTTTAAAAGTTATTTTATAAAGGTTTTAATTGATCGGCCGCGATAGCCGTGCGGATTAATGCGTTAGTCTGTACGTGTATCGTGCCGATAGGCGCGGGTTCAAGCCCCAGCGGTTGTTAGAAAATTGATTTCAACAACAACCGCTGAGGATCGCTCTTGTAGCCGAACTGTACTGACCAGGTTTTCTGTGGTCTTGGTCACTGTGCTAAAGCTTAAATGGGCAGACACAGGCAAATGAGTACAGTACTTGTAAGTCGGCCACAGCCGCTACCTCGAACGCATTGAGGTGGGGTAGAAGAAATCTACCTCACCGAGAGGGTGGGAATAAAAAGGGGGGAGGAGAAAAAAAAAGTGTGGTAGTTACATGTATGAAAACGTAGTGGAAAAACAGGTGAGAGAATAAAGTGGAAATCCCCACCCTCTCCTTGTAAAAACACACTAAGGTTGTATACAAGTAAAAATCACATTTTTTTTTTATAAAGGTTTTAATTTTAAATGAATCACCAAAATTTCGTTAGTTACGATAGATTGAAAAAAATAATTTGGGTGGAGTCAGCCAGTCTCCGGACATACGACCGAGGCCTAAGATGTTGGTCGGTTGACTGCCTTGAACTGACTGCTCTGGATTTGCATCCAGAATACAAAGAATTATAACAATTTAATCAAATCGGCAACGTTGTATCTCAGGTTACCGTAGAGAAGTCGTTAGAGTCCAGCGATGTTTAGGCTGGAGCTCGGTAACTCTCTTATCAGAAGCGATTTTCGTTACTTCGCTGACGATGAATTTTATTTATCATCAGCAAAGCAATTGTTATTTCTAAAATAAAAATTAATAAAAATATTTTTAAATTTACCGAGAATGTTACAAAGAGAAAGCCCTTACTTACCGATGCGTAAATTACGTGGTCGATAATGACCATGGGAAGTTCGATTTTCCCTGTTACAATGTAATGCCTATTATACATCGTGGCACGTTGAATAAAGAAAAAAAAATTAATAATATTAAAAAATGAAAGGAATAAAAGAAAATAAAGATTTATTTGTAAGAAAATATAACGAATATTATCAAAAACAACCTAATAAACGACCGTATACTCTAGTTTACTTAAAAGAGGTAAATATTATGCCGATCAATTCCAAGAGCAAAGTACAGATCTAATAAAATATTCATTTTATTAAGTAAATTTTTGTTTTGTATAAAATTTGTGATTTTACGGAAAAGTATGCCTTTGTCGTTTAGAATGCTGCAACAGGATTCCTTTGCAATAGAAATAAGAACACAATTTATGTATTCATAATTTATTACGAAGAAAATTATGAGCTTATTTACCAAAATCTAGTTATAATATTAGATAGAATAACACCCAACTACTCAATAAGAAAAATTAATAAAATGATTTGTTGTTTATTTAACTTGTACCTCTTGACTGGAATTCATCTGTAAATCAATTAATGATCATAATGTGACACACAAGCCTTAATGGGAGCTCTTATATGTATAGTAATATTTTTAAAGAAATATTTTTCTACCCTTGTGAGTAAAATATGGAATTTGAAAATTTTAAACTCATAGATTCCACTGTCACCTCATTACCAGACTGGGCTTGAACATTGGGGAATGAGGAAGAGTTATTTAGGAAAAATTTCTTAGAAAATCGATCGCTACTTGTTTTCTGGAAATTGAGATTTTATTAGTAACACAATTTTCTGGAAATTGTGTTTGAGTAAGCGAAATTGCCTGAATAGAATAGACAATACTTAGAAAAAAAACCTTGAGTATTTTACCTGTAGGTATCTTCTTCGTCTTTTTGCGACGTTTCCTTGTACAACA